GTTTAGATGCCGGATTTTCAAGTCGGGTTCATTACATTCACTTATTTGCTAATACCTACAAAAAAGTATGAAATCATTTCTTCTGACCCAAGTTATCGGTAAATAGCAGGCAGACTGGGTCCTATAGCCTTTGCTGGTAACCAGTCTGGGAGAAGGAAAACTCTGAATTTAAAACCTGAGGAGGCTCGTTTGGGGATCTTGTAGCATATTGCGATTATCTCTATTCAGTTTGTCCAAAAATTGTGGTCAGTTCTTCAGAAGCGTTCCCCATTATAATTATATATATGTCGTTAGTCCGGCTGTTTGAGTTTAAGAACTGGGCTGCTTGGCCCTCATACTTCGAAAAACGAAAATAGAAACGCCCATAAAGACCTGGAGGAGGCACGGTGGAGTAATGGATAGCGGCTTGGTTGGAGGAATCGGAGAGCCGAGTTCGAATTCCAGTCGAATCCATTACATTCACTTACGTGCCTTAATACCCTTGGGAAAGGTGTGAATCCTCTTCTTCTCCCTCCAGCTATGGGTAAATAGCAGGACAGACTGGGTTCTATAGCCTTGGATGGCAACTGGTCTAGGAGGGTGAATGGAGTCTCTCTGAGCCTTGGTTGGCAATCCATTTAGTGATGTTGTCACGATAAAAACACCCTTGATAGCCCTAGCGAAGCATCAAGAATTCAGCTATTTGACAAAATTATGAACTACACCAATCAAAGTATTAGTTATGACAGATAAGGAATACTGGAAAGGTGTAGTGAGTTCAATCTCGGCTGAGGCCGCAAGATGATGATGAAAGACCTGTAGAAATGTATCAGTATATTTAAATACGTCATCCCACTTTATGCACAAGCTCAGTGAATATCTCTTTATCGCCTCATACAAGGAGATGCCGGATTTTTTTCTCAATGTGCAATAAACGTAGAGGTCTTAATAAAAGTGGTGTCGGAAAAGGGGCCAAAAGTACGAAAATTAATAAACTAGGCGGCTTTAAACTCGGTGGTTGAGGAGTCGAAAAATTTCCTCAAAAAATAAACGTCTCCCTATTAGGTCCCTAAGAGTATGACACAACGACAAAAGAACCCCGCTTGTGACAATGTAGCAGCGCGGTGGTTTGCGGATTAATCTAAAAAATCATTGGTCGTGAGTTCAATTTTCGTTGACTACTTTGTACGTTCATAAAGGCTAGCATGTGTTACAAGTAGTGAACTGGTTACCATTTGTGAGGTATATATGAAAAATCAGCAAGACCGTATCACGAAAACACTCTTCTGTTGTCGGTTGCTGCGGAAAATTGTAAGAAATCAACTAATAAGCGACTGATGCAAAAAAATGGCGGACATTTGGAGTCGCCAGACCACAGATTAAAGAAGTCGTACTTTAAACCAAAATATACTAGCTCTGTTTTTTTCAAATGAAACTAAAGCTGTCAATACTGTGCTGAACTTGGAGTCATCTCTTAAAACAAAGTATTTACATCGGTGGCTTCTGTTTTTGTTAGGTTTTAATCATTCTTTCTGTTGTAGTAAAAGTTGGTGGTAGATACAGAAGGAAAACTGCAAGATCGCCTAAAGAAACTAATAAAGAAAAGCGAGAAGAAAGGACTAAGCATCAGTCGTAAGAAGTCAGAATGCATGATTGTTAGTCAGAGAAAAAGACCAAAATGTGCGCTACAAATTGGAGAAGACAAAATAAAAATAAAAACTAAAAAAAAAAAACTACAGAAGTTTAAATATCTGGAAAATGTTTTAACAGAGAATAGAAAATGCAACATCAAAATTCGAGAGTACGATCGAATAGGAAAAGATGCCTTCCACATCTAAGCAAACTACTAAGATAGAGGAAAATTACGTTAAAAAGCAAACACTGTTCTGAATTGCTTTGTAATATCAATCCTCCGCCGTGACTGTGGATGCTGGGCAACTTTCTCACATGTAGAGAAGGCTGAAGGCGACAGAAATGTGATGCTACAGAAAGATGCTGAGAATATCATTGACAGAGCGCGTAAGCAACAAAAACGTCTTAAGAAAAATGGAAGCAGAAAAGACACACATTCATATTCAGAAAGAGCCAGCTGAAACTTTTAGATAACATAATGAGGAAAGGAGGCTTGGAGAATTTAACACTCTTAGAACATATCGGAGGCGAAGGGGACAGAGTAGGAGAAGCAGACCACCTATCTGACTCGCTTGTGTCATGGAATGGCAGAACGGGGGTGAGGGGATAGTAAAAAGAATAAAAAAAACGTTACTAAGTGTTAGAACGAACAGGAAGTCATGAAGAGCCATGCTCGTCCACATTTTGAAGGGACACTGGGAAGAGAATAATTATATATGCATCCGAATGGGTGCTGAAAAGTTATCATCCCGATTTGTTTTCCAAATCCGACCAGATATGGGTAATCTAATCTTGGTCAATATGCTTACGGATTTATCACATTGAAACACCGTTTCTCGGACGATTACCGAAGGTAAGCAATGTCGAGCCTGGTCAATACCAAAATTGGGGTACGCTTGGGAAGAACAGGTGCTGCAAACTTGGATATGCGGCCGGGGTAATGGAATTAACGGAATTGGAACTCTTTTCTTCGATTTCCAATTCCTGCCGGGTTTGTTTTATTAACTTACAAGCAAATAACCTTGCCAATTGCCGGAGGAATTTGTGAGAATGGATGGCAAGACGAAGGTTGGGAAGTAAGTCGTGGAGGGCCATAATCGCCCACATCCTGAAGAATAAATACAAACGTGTCTCACAAATTCTTCCTTTCCAACATTGTGAAAAAAAAATTCTACTTTAAGCATGGAAATTAGTCTCCATTTTATAAATCTATAATAATCTGACCTTGAAAATTCTATTCATGGTTTTTTAAAGATATTTCTTTTCTTTTTTACTTAACGGCGCTTTTGAAATGTGAGATTAACAAGGGAACGGTCTAGACTGCATTTTCATTAGGAAAAATGCAAAGCCTTCTTGTTGTCATCCCTAAGCCACCGACCTTGTCTCATTCCATCATCAAGCCGGAGTCGGAAGAGAAGGTCCCCAGGTTATTTGTAATTAAGAATGCAAGGACACGGCAGATAAAGAGAAAAAAAAGGCCAGCTTGATACAATGATTTTCCTGTTATTCAGTCGTGGTTTAAGTTAGCCATTTTGGAGCGGGGCGATGGTGATTTCCTGCTGATTTGAATTTAGAAGAGTGGGTTCCATTCATCGGAAGTGGATTTACCGCAGACGGGCAGACACACAGGTAGACAGGTTGGGGATATATGGATAGCGAAGATCAGGTCAAAAACGACCTGGAGGCGACAAAAGGTCAGCTAATCTCTTGTGTGGTCACATTATTTTTCTATTTCAGTACGTTCTTTCTTTTCTTTTCTTTTCTCTCTCTCTCTTTCTTTCTTTCTTTTCGTCTTAGTTTTAGACTTATCATTTTCGTTCTTCTTTCTTTCTTTCTTTCTTTCTTTCTTTCTTTCTTTCTTTCTTGTTTGCTTGCTCGCTTTCTTTCTTTCTTTCATTCTTTCTTTTATTTCCGTCTTGGTTTTAAACTTATCAGTTTCGTCCTTTCTTTTTTCTTTCTTGCTTGTACGTTTTCTTTCTTTTTTGCTTTCTTTCCGTCGTGGTTTTAGACTTATCACTTTCGTTCTTTCTTTCTTTCTTTCTTTCTTTCTTGCTCGCTTTCGTCTTATTTTTAGATTTATCAGTTTCTTTTTTCTTTCTTTCTTTCTTTCTTTCTTTCTTTCTTTCTTTCTTTTTCCACTATTTCTTTCTTTTTCCACTTTTCTTTCTTTCTTTCTTTCTTTCTTTCTTTCTTTCTTTCTAAGCTTTTTTGTCTTTCTACATTTATTTTATTTCATTTTATTTTAACTTTTTCTTTCTTAATTTTTTTCCTGTTTTTCTTCTTTAAATTTGTTTTTTTTTTTTGGATAAAATCTTTCCTTTTTATTCTTTCTTTCTTTCCTTTTTCTTTCTTTCTTTCAAAGTTTTTTGTTTTTTTGCCTTTCTTTCTACCATTATTTTATTTAATTATATTTGGACATTTTTCTTTCTGGGATAAATTTTTTATCTGCTTTTTCTTCTTTGAATTTGATTTTTTTCTTTTTTGGATAAATCTTTCCTTTTTTTATTCATTATTTCTTCTTCTTTTGTCTTCATGTAAACACAGCTAAATCTAGAAACGACGTATATCTCACGTCACACACTCGCACGCGCGCGCACGCGCGCGCACACACAGACAAACACACAGAAACATAGACACATATTTTTCTGGAGCGGTCCAGATCTGTGTAACCGTTTTATCATGATATCACTTATAGGATACACGTATATTTTAATTAATTTGAAAAGTAAGGTTACACACAGAAACACACACACACACACACACACACACACACACACACACACACACACACACACACACACACACACATATATATATATATATGATATATTTATATGGCGAAATATAGAGCGATTAAGAGCATGGCAGACTGGGCTTTCTAGATTTGGTTGGTAACCAATTCAAGAAAAAATACATGTCGTAATTCAATATTGGTGCAGTGTGGGATATGGATCCCCACCCCGTAAAACGTACTGGCTACGTAAACCACATGAACAACGCTTAGCGTGATGAGACTGTGGTACTGTACTTCGCAGAGGAACCTACAATGTTAATAAACATGTATATGTGGATATTTAAAATAAAACAATTGAATTTGGCACAAGACGAATTAAAAAAAGACTGAAAGATTGTGTTGCAACAGTTTTTGAAATAGAGAAGTCGCCGATTCTTTCATGTCTTAAAATTCAAATTCATAATCATGGATGTTAATCGGTCTGGAGAAATTTTTTTTTTCCTGCTGAACAAAGAAAAAAGCGGTTAATAACCGTAGTTAATAATTAATTATGTCGAGGTTATTACATTCTTGTAACCTAGAAAGGGTTACTGAATGAGGAATAACCAAAATGGAGGTTGGAAATGAAATGGTAATCTTTATAACATCAACAAAA